ATACGTGTCTTTGCACACATAATTAATAAAAAAAGGGTAGACATCGTGCACATTAGAGCTGCGTATCAATAAATCATCAGAGGAGGAATGGTTGCTCGCTTATCGAGCTGCCTCCCTGATGGATGTTGGGAAAAGCTGCTGGGTTTTGGTTGTAGGCCAGTGAAACCTCAAACGGTGAAGCTGCAGCTGGATCGGCTCTGTGGAAGCTGACTAATAATTACTTAAAGAACACATTAGGTGTTATGGCTCTCAGAGGCGAATTACCAAGGCTTTTTTTGAGCTTAAATTGTGGAGGCAGTAATTAATTAACTGGACTGTTTGTTTTAGAGGTTGCATGAGCGTGAGCGACTCAGGTGAATCAGATCAGTTCAAATTGGTCAGTTGATTCAGCTCAAACCTATCAAAAAAATAAAACAAGGAATATCAGAACTTGTGGTGACACTAACAGAATATATAGGACAGAGGTAAATGGGGAAATGAGCTCACCTGAGTGGATTGCTGACTGGGGAAAGATGAGAGTGGACATGGCAGGCTGATTGAGTGAGATGGCCAATGAGGTGTCTTGATAGAGGCAATATCATGTGACTTGTTATGGTCGGAGAGAGCGGCCATATTGTTCAGGGCGAGGACAGGTTGGTAAAACTAAACGTAGTAACCATAACATATTGCCATTTGTATCATATTTGCTACGCACGATTCTGTGACCTATATTTTATCAATGTGATCAATATTTTCCTCAAAAACCTGTTGTACATCACGTGATACCTGTATTCTGCCTTCTGGTGGATTATCAATGTACTGCAGGAAGTGAAACTTTTTTTTTGCCTTTTCAAATGTCTGCTCACATGAGGTCATCCACACATTTTTTTCAGGAAAACATTTGCTAATTTTGGAGAAGTTACGGTAAAAATAACATCAATATTGTTTGTAATTATTTCTAATAAATACTTTCTGTGTTGAAACAATGCATAATTACTTAAAAATATTTTTTAATAGTACAGTTAAACCGTGTTAAAAATTTGTGTATCAAACTTGGTACTGCAGGTGCTCCAGTCCTGAAAGTCATGTGACATTTTAGTAATTTAATCAACGATATTCTTGCCACAATATAACCACACACTATTTTGGATGATTGATTAATTACTGAAATGCCATTTGAAAACACATTTTGGCTATTTTCAACGTGGTTTCCTTTGAAATTATAATCTCCACACTGTACTGACTAATTATTTACRTGTTAGATGTCAAAGAAAAATTGAATAAGAAGAGAGAAAAAAAGAAAGTAAGAAAATGTCATCAATATGATAATAGATGGCAATTTTTTATAAAGTCTAAGGTACATCTGTGCCTGAACAAGGACAGAAACTATTTGTGCCTACCACGAAGTGAAATAAATAGCTGTAAAAAGTTCATTGTAAATAAAACAACAACAAAGAAGTAAACTTCCTAGAGTGTTTTAAACTTGTTAAAAGTTATGGGCAAAACTGTCTTTTGTTTCTTAATTTAACTTTGTTGTGAGCAAAATGTTACCAAAACAGCCCAGTGTATCAGATTTGATACAAAAAAATATATCATAAACAAAAGTGATGTGGCAAAAAACATCTTTTGGATTTTGTTTAAAAGTCCAATAAACATGTCAGTTCTAATAAAAAATGTGAATTTTCTGACTATTTTTTAAAGGATTAGGCTTTAAAGGGTAAACTGTTTGCTTATGCAATTGTTCACAAAGGGGTGAACCTCGCCCCATCCTTGTTTGTAAATGACTGAGCCTTTCAGGGATGCTCCCTTTATACCCAGTCATGCCTGATATGAAACTGACAATCATCTCTACCAAATGAAAATAATGCTTGTCAATAGCAAACTGACTTTCATCGATGTGCTGAACTAAACTTAAGACCAAAGTTTCTCAATGAATAACTGCAAGGAATTTAGGGATTTCATCGTCTACAGTCCATAATATCATCAAAACATTCAGAGAATCTGGACAAATCTCTGCAAGTAAGCAGCAACCAACATTGAATATCTGTGACCTTTGACCTCTCAGACAGCACTGGATTAAAAACTGACATCATAATAGATATTTGATATTACCACATGGGTTCAGGAACACTTCAGAAATCCATTGTCAGTTAACATAGTTCGTCGTTACATCTACAAGTTCAAGTTAAAACTCGACCGTAAGGCCAAAGCTACATAAAAACAGAAATATGGCCATTATAAATTGTTTACATTGGCAGCCCGCCCCTTCCAATATGGCATTGCGCTCGAACCACAGCGGTCAATCTTCTGAAGCACTCGTGACGCCTCTATTCTTTATACCTCAAAGGAGATGGTGCAGAGAACACAGGGGAGATGAACGGGAAATAAGAACAAAACATAAAAAARCATAATCATAAAACACAAACAGGTACGAACAAAACTAACAATGGAAACAGATCCTGACAAATTCTCAGCTGCACCTCTGAATACTGAAGAAACAGTAAAAATAAATTCTCTGAATTTTAGCTCTGAGACACTAGAGAAGAAATCATCGAGCCGTTTAACTGCACAATTGCCCAGAAGATGCTGCACTTTTCTTCAGCTCTGAAAAGTTCCCTGTTGAGATGAACTAATCTATAACAGTCRTTGCTTTTATTTAACCAGATAAAAACCCATTGAGATCAAAAACCTGTTTTATATGGATGACTTGGCAAAGAGTAGGAACTGTCACAAGTTTTTTTTGTTTTAGATAAAAAGACTCAGTAGATACTGCAGTTTGGAGTAAGAAAACCACAATRGAACATTCACCTGAAATGATTCTAAAGTTTAAAACAACGTAATGTGAAGTGAAATATACCAACTATTATTAATCTACATATTTTCTTTCTCTATCAGTAACAGTATTAGGGTAATAGTTAAAAATAACTCAACATTGAAGCTTCATGTAATGCAGATATGCAGTATGTTTGTGAGGGAGTTTTTTTAATTCTTATTTTATTTTATAGTCATAATTTTCTATAAAAATAAAAGAAGCAGGTGAGTTTTAAGTCTTGTTTGATCTGCTCTGGCAGAACGTGCCTGACCTTCTCTCTGTTCAATCTGATTTAAATCAGCCACGCCTGAGCCTGTACCACCAAGACCCTGTAATTAAATATGTAACACCTTTGATTTAATGACTGTAAATTGATTTGACTGGTAATGTTTTTCATTTGCTCTGTGCTCCTGTTTCTTTGTGAGAGTCCAGGTATTTTCACTCCATGTTGAAGCTAATCATTGTGTCCTTAAACAGAAACAGGAGCCAAAACAAGAACAAACGTTGCATTCGACTGCAAATGTTTGCTTGGTCAAAATGTACATAGTAGCAGCACTTCAAACAACTACAAGTACAATAGGATTCCTGTGGTTACTTTAAAATATTTCACTTAGCCTTTTACTGTGTTTTGCAAATTTTGTTAAAAAATGTATAAAATTGTTTACTTTGTGTGAATTAAAGGTTACAGTTATATTCTTGATTGGACCAGTATGTAGAGGCTGCATCCTATGTGAGACACTATAGTCTGAATTTGTGCTAAAAGCTTTATGAATAGCATTACCCAACATCAATTTAAACACAATGAGGAATCAAAATGACAAATTAAAATCCCCATAAAAACCCCATGAATCACTCATGGCAGTGCCTGAGCCAAAAAAGCACATAACATAATACATAACCTTTAATTGAACGAGTGTAAAGTGATTTGACTGCTAATATTTTTCATTTGCTCAGTGCTGCTCCACACGTTTCATGAAAAAAGGTTAGAGATGCAGCATTAGCTGTGATATATAAAGGAGTGGTTCTAAAGTTGAAGATGGGACCGCCTCTGGCTCATGAAACACAAAGTTGTTGTACAGAACAAAAATGTAATCATGAATTATTATAAATAAAGTATTTGTTAAATCTGCGCTGTGATTATATTTCTGTTTTGAGGAGTTATGGGAATCATTGCTCTAAAGCACCTAAATCACATAAACCAAACCACAGCTGGGCCAGTTGCAACACTGACAGATTTGGGCCATATGAACCAAACCACATCTGGGCCAGCTGCGGCACTGGCATATCTTGGCTACATAAACCAAACCACAACTGGGCCAGTTGTGGCACTGATATATCTTGGCTACATAAACCAAACCACAACTGGGCCAGCTGCGGCACTGGCATATCTGGGCTACAGAAACCAAACCAAAACAGGGCCAGTTGTGGCACTGACATATCTGGGCTACATTAAACCAAACCACAACTGTGCCAGTTGTGGCACTGACATACTGGGCTACATAAATCAAACCAGAGCTGGGCCAGTTGTGGCACTAACAGATTTGGGCTACATAGACCAAACCACAACCAGGCCAGTTGTGGCACTGACATGTCTGGGCTACACAAAACAAACCACAACTAGGACAGTTGTGGCACTGACATATCTGGGCTACATAAACCAAACCACAGCTGGGCCAGTTGTGGCACTAACAGCTTTGGGCTACATAAACCAAACCACAACCAGGCCAGTTGTGGCACTGACATGTCTGGGCTACACAAAACAAACCACAACTAGGACAGTTGTGGCACTGACATACTGGATATGGGCTACATACAGTAACTCAAACCAGAGCTGGGCCAGTTGTGGCACTAACAGATTTGGGCTACATAAAGCAAACCACAACTAGGCCAGTTGTGGCACTGACATATCTGGGCTACATAAACCAAACCACAACAGGGCCAGTTGTGGCACTGACATATCTGGGCTACAGAAACCAAACCACAACAGGGCCTGTTGCAGCACTGACAGATTTGGCCCACATAAACCAAACCACAACTGGGCCAGTTGTGGCATGCCATCTTAAAAACAGTGCAATCACTGCCAGATCTGGCCCACGTCCAGTTGACAAACCACTGGCCATGCCAGCAGTCAGTGATCAGTGCCAGATTGACACCAGATCTGGCCCACACCTGCCTGCTCTGTGGGAGGTGTGTCAGTACTTCCACCTACCTTGACAAGACTCTCCAGCTCAGATGAGTTCACGCAGGTGTGCGTGACCAAAAAGTCCAGCTTTTTAGCCAAAATGTCCAGTTTCTTGTTGGTTTCCTGAGGCTGCTCCAGGGCTCTGAACACCGCAGCTCCGATGATGAGGTACAGCACCACCAGGAAGAAGATGGCCAGCACAGTTTTCCACCTCATGACGGTAGTCCGGGTGTCGCACTCATCGTCCTCTGGAGTGTTCAGCACCACTGGCTTTGTAGAAAACGACAGRCGGGGCTTGGCGTTGTGGACGGCAGCCTTTGGGTCAAGGAGATCAGGTGCAGCCACTGCAAGGATGAAACTCATTAATTTTATTTATTTAWTACTTTAAATGAACTGTAGGACAGGGAAATTCAAGCTTCCACTTTAAAATATGACTAAATACAAATGGTTTATTGGACAGTTCTTTATTATCAAATGGAATTTTTAAATTTCTAGCTTGATTATTTAAATCTCTTTACACAATCAGAAAATAAATCTAATGATTTGTGTTGCTTGCCACAAAATGAWTTCAATAACTCCATTCAGAAATCACAAATTATGAATTTGTTTACACACAGAATGCGTGTCACCGGCCACCTTTCATGCCAGAGTTCTAAACTAAAGTAACAGAAACTCATTTTAGTTGAGCCTTCATGAGATATTTTGCTAACAGACAAACATGGACGTAAGATCTCATCACTGTCTAATCCTGGAGAAAAATAATTTAATTCATTCGTTCATTCATTGATTCATTC